GGTACTGGTCCCAGAGCAGAAGGAGGAGAAAAGAGAACAAAAGCAAGAGGAGATGCCATTCCCACTGTGGATGGGAGACTCACGGCTGACTCACCTGTCCCTCAGTGGACTGAGCCTCCCCAGTCCCTAAGAATCACTATCTGTCCTTCGGAAGGGCGTGTATGTGTGTGTGTGCGCATGCATGTGTACATGTGCGCAGGTCCATCCAGCAGGAATCACTCACAGGAACCTAAAAGGCTGCAGGAAGAATGAGGGAGTCTCCTCTCTTCCACTGGGGGGGACTCCCCTCAGTGTTTTCAGACTAGTTCAGACTGTGGCTTCTCCATCCTGAATTTTTCCTGTGAATTCTTACGTTCTGGGGTTGCCAGGGTAGAGGAAGGACCTGAGTGAGCATGGCTATTGTCAGTAAGGGAGAGAGGTTTTCCTGAAGAGACTAGAAATGCTAAGAATGGGCTCTGCCTTGAAGAGAGAGAAGGAAGGTCAGGATCTCGGCTCATAGTAACAACTCCTGCCGTTCATTAAGAGATTATCATCTGCCGAGCTCTGTGCTAAGTAAGCACTCTGGGGCTCGTCTACACTGCAGCCATGCTGCAAGGAAGATACTGCTACTGCCCCTGATTTACAGATGGGGAAACTGACGCACAGAGAATGTAACTGATTTGCCCAAGGTCGCCCAGCACTGATGCGGATCCGGGCCCTGGCATGGTGCCCACACTCACGCGCCACTGCTGGGCTGCCCGCCTCTCACTGCTCGGGGCACCTGGGGTGACAGTGCGACTTCACTCCTTACTGCGCTAGTAAACTCCGGGGACAGTCTGATGTCGAATCCCAGCTGAAGCTACTTCTCTGTTGCCACTTTTTTCCTTGTCGTGAAGGCTGCCAGCACGCTCGCAGCCTTGTGTTAACGCTGGGAGAGACTACGGACAGGGCCGGGGAGGAGAGCCTGGCTTTCCCTGACGCCAGCCACCCTGGTGAGGGAAAATGCTGTCTTCCATTCTTGGTGCTGTAAAGGCAGAGCTGGGATTGGTGTGGGGAAGTGACTGCGATGTGGGGGGACGTAGGAGTGGAGGGGAGGTGCTCTACCTAGAGAAAGGGGACATGGGAGAAGGGGATTCATAAAAATGATCCTCACGGCTAACGAACACCAAGCATCTGAACAAGGACCTCGGCAGGAAACGGGACGTCTGTGCTAGAAAGAACAGTCTGGTTTCCTTGTCTGAAAGATAGACAGCAAGACAGACAAAAGTAAAAAGTGCTATTAAAACTCCCCTATGAGTTTTAAAACCAAGTAACCATGATTTGGCAGCTCCAATAACTGATTGCACTCAATCTGCAATTTCCATGTGTTGTGAAATTGCCAAAAAGCAGCAGGCATAGGTTCCACTTAATCCCCCTACCTTGTTCGCAATGTCAAGTGCATTTCTTAAATAGCTTCCTGCTTTAGCCATTACAATTCAGTGCTCTGCAGAGCGGCTGTCGTAGTCCATCTGGGCTGCTTTAACAAAAATACCACAGACCGGGTGGTTCAAACAACAAATACTATTCCTTGTAGTTCTGGACAAGTCCAAGATCACAGTGCTGGCAGATTCGTGTCTGGTGAGGACCGTCTTCCTAGTTCAGAGATGGCTGTCTTCTCACTGTGCCCTCACATGGTGGAAGGAACAAGAGAGCTCTCTGAGCACTGATCCCATTCATAACGGTGCCACCGTCCTAACCTAATCCCCCCAAAGCCCCCACTTCCTAATGTCACCACATTGGGGGTTAGGATTTCAACATATGAATCTGGGGGGATGCACACATTCAGCCTACAGCAGGGGCACTGAAGGGTTGGAGGGCGCTGGCTGAGGGAGGTTGGGATGTGGGTTCATATGCGGAGAAGAGAGGCCAGCGGATGCCACAGGAGCTGGGGAGCTGTCCACACATCTTGGGACTTGTACTTTCATAGGCCCCCTCCCTTGGTTTGGGTTTTGTCAGAGGCAGATCCTGAGATGTGGATTTAAGTGCAAGTGATTTGGGAGAGGGTAACCCCAGGAAGCACTGAGTTAGGAGTAGGGAAGTGAGACAGGTAAGGGAAGGAAGCCAAGAAAAACAGCTTTATCCAGCTGGGTCCGTGGTGGGCAACACGAGCTCCATCTTACTGGGGAACCGGGTGCCAGTGCAGAACGTGTGTCTCAGCCTTCTCCCTCCTAGAGGTTTTGGGAGGTTGGTCCGTGCCAAGGGCTTCTGCTGGAGTGAGGGTGTCTCTCTGGCACCTAGAGCCTGCTGTGAGGTTTGGGCCACCAAAGACAGCCACTGGGCCAAGGGCTGAGATGCTAGCCTTTGGAAGTCAGGCCAGAGTGCACTGGGGTGTGGGTTGGGCCCCAGCTTCACCTTCTGCATCCTCCTCAGCCCTGTGACCAGGAACCCTTGCATCCGCCATCGTCTCAGCCCAGGCCTGGGGCCGTGGCTGGGAAGAGGAAGAGGCTGGCTGTACCAGGCGCTCACACCTTGCTGCGACCCACTCCCACCATGGCGCACTGAAACAATGGTGCCCACAGTCACGTGCTCCCCAGGCTAGCCAAGAAAGGCTGTTTCCTAAAGTTTCCCAGACGGTGTAAAAATAACTCTTTTCTTTTAGCTGGAGTATTAGCTTGGGACTAGGATGAATAGACTTCGGAGAGTTGGGCTCAGAGCCTATCACCCATGAAATCACAGTTCCAATGTAAGTGTGCTTTCGGAATTCTTAAAACATTAACACGAGTTTTGGAACAGAATCTCTTTGAGAGCTGGGTGTGGCCTTGCTTTTGCCTGTGCTCTGGGGGATGTGCGTCCAGGATGTCCTCTTTATTATTACGGTGGCCCTTTGGTTGTCTGTGTTTGGATAAATGGAGCAGAGCACCGGATAGAATGCTTTAGAATTCGAAGCATCTGTTCCAAGATTTTGTGGCGGAGGAGAGCACCTGGTCTCTGCCATCTATTCAGGGGAGCCATCTTGCCATCCCAAAGTGCTGAATGTTCTTAGAGCATCCTGGACAGAGGGCCAGGCTTCTCGTTAATCTAGGTCCTGTGATTGTTGGGCAGTGGTGATTTATTGTGGGTGTGTGTCTTCCTGCCCAGGCAAAAGGACAGGAGCAACTGAGCTGTTGGGTTCACTTATTTGGTTCTTTCTTAGTATTATCAACAGGACAGGCGCCTTACAGAACAGATACATAACCTCAAGTGGCAGACTGGAGGTGAAGAAGGCACAAAAATTATGTGACGGATGCTGCAAAGTCAAATGAACAGGACGATTATGTAAGAACTGGGGCCAAAGCACACTCATGAACTCTCAGCCCCCTTCTGATGTGCCACGTCCTGGAACTTCGAATACGTAAACAAAGGAAAGTATAGACCAAGCACGGTCAGACCCGACGGCAGAGCGACAGACCAAAGGCGGGAATGCAGCTGCCCAGGAAATCTGTTTCCCTCTCCACTCCGGTTCATTTAATGTAATTCCTAGTCACTCTTGTGAGATCATTTTAAAAATTGAAGTTCTGCCAGGCACTGGCAGGCTACTTGTTGACAAGCTAAAACTGTTAGACGCTGATTGTTCCAACGAAGAGGAGAAAACCAACAGAGGCTTCTAGCCTGCGTGGCAAATGCAACCTTCCTGACGTAGTCCTCTTTCTAGCATCATTCCTGCTCACCAGTTCCAAGATTTGATGGGTAAAATTCATTTTTAGGACAGGAAGGAGTCTTCCGGTGTGCTCCAGAATGCTCTATAACAGGGGTCGGCAAACTTTTTCAGTAAATATTGTGGGCTTTGTCGGGCGCAGTCTGTGTCAAGCACTCAGCTCTGCCATCCTAGCGTGATGCAGACGTAGACGATACATAAACAAGTCAGCACACCTGGGTTCCACTGAAACTTTATTTACCAAAGTAGGACTGAGCCTGCCTGTGGTTTGCCCACCCCTTCTTTTTATCTTGAACTGAATGATGGTTTCGTAATTGCAGTTGGCCCTCCATATCCACAGGGTCCACATCCACAAATTCAACCAACTGCAGGTGGAAAAAAAAATTCCAGAAAGTTTCAAAAAGCAACACTTGAATTTGCTGAGTGATGGCCACTAATTATGTAGCATTTACGTT